GGCAGACTTGAAGCACGCGGATGCGGAGTTGAGTCCAGTCGATAAGCAACTGAAGCTCAATGGGCTAACGCAATGCGCTGCATAAAATGGAATGTGTTACGTTTCGCTATAGGAAGGTGTAGTGGAGCTTCTCTTCGTCCGTTCAGTGACCTCATCTTCATCTACCAGATTTTGAATAATCTCAGTCATGTTTAACGCTACCTCCTGCAACTCCGACAGAAAACGAAAAATAGGGCCACCTGCAGAAACTGGCTACCCAATACAGCCGGTCAGAACACTTTTCCAGCAGGATATTTTCTTCGTGAGAAGCTCTTCCGACCTATGTCAATTCTACATCCACTTAAATACTTTTACCAAAAACAAATCGATGTTGCTTTATAACAGTTCCATTACGTCCCATTACCCGCAGTTATCGGGCGACGACAAACCGCATGCTACAATGTCATGCTCAACGGCTTTCATTAGTAGAAGTTTCGGCTACTATTCCAACGGTCGCGGGTTCGAGGCCAGCAAACTTCACCTGATAAGAGCGAATCAAATCGAAACGCGTCGTGGTTGCGCAGTGTTTTCAGGCACATAGCACCAAATTTCCATCGAGTTTCGGGAGACTGTGTATCTGTGTATAGGGAAGCGCGGCTTATCATAAGGATAATGATTTCTGAACTTATGAATTCCCCTCAGACCGTCCTACGGGACTTATCAATCCTCAGATTTATTACTCGTACTATATAGTTGTCCCATGATTTCAAGTAGGATTGCACGACTACGTTGAAAGGCGCATCCTCTCAGAAACATTAATGAGGACACAAGTTGGTGGGTATATCGCTGAACAAACTGCGGAGGCTATGGGTAAGGAGTGTTTAGTTTTTCATAGTCATTACTAGCCGTGGAGACAAAGAAGGTTTATCACTTAGTTAAAAATGTGGTATAAAAAGTTGGTTCGCGCTCATTGCTGCGTAGGTGATTGACAGAGAGACTGGTTACACTTGACTACTACTACTACTACTACTGATGCTACATCTCTCAAGTACGGTGTGGACACTGAAACCGCATTACACAGGACCATCAGTTGGTGCTTGACAGTGTACCTCTTGTGGCTAGTAAACAAAAACAGGTCAATCGCTTTGGTTAAGTCATTTGTATAACCACGCAATGATTACCCCGGCCTGTATCGTTTGGCTCATCTTCATTCGTTTGATAGAAGAGGGAGAGTGAGAAGACGAAGGCATTAGGCCGGTGACCATAAGGTTTAATCAAGCTGGCGTATATTTTTTTTCCTGGATAGATACTTCGGGCTTGCTAGGGCAAACTGTTAGAGACATCGGTAGATGTGGGCAGGTTGTGATGCCACTAATGCTCTTGCATTCAGTCAGTTTAACTAGTCATAGATTCTCTATATTCGGAGCAGTGATTATCATTTACGTTTAACTCCTGCTTAATGCAGTCGAAACCGCTTTATTGTCCACCATCGGGATATTTTGAAAGTGGGCAATAAAGCCGGGAAGGCAATTAACCGATATTGCCATTTTTACAAAAGTGAGACAACCAGTGAACTATTGTACAGTATATGAATTGCATTGTAACGAAGGATAAGCTACGTAGCTGTAACAAAAGTCTAACAAGGACGATTATTCAGAACAGCATGATCTTTACATTAAAAATTATACTATAAAGCAACTTACCTGGATAGCTATAGAAGCTGGCACTACTGCATATTTTCGCAGTGAAAACAATCCAGCGTCAGCTGGACATTACTTTGCGTCGCTACTCAAGCCATTTTTTACTGATAAAGTCCAATTTGGACAAGAAAACTCTGCCTAGCCAATGCAAAAAGCCGGTAGCTTTACAGATCATTCACAGTTCTTTGCTTTTACAGGCGACACGCGCGGACTGCTGTTACTCACGGAGGCATCTGGCACGTCATCCTCTGAGTCGCTGCCTTCCTTCTGCTCTGGTCAGTTTTCCAACATTTTACTGACAATTTCATCTTCAACAGTTGTCAGACTTGAGGTACATTCCGCATACTTATCAATGGCGACGAAGTCTACTGCGCTGATGACCAGAATTGTGCAACCGCTGACCTTGTCCTCAGCGATGAAGGCGTCATCAGCAAGTGCACTTGATGCCAGTCGAGTGAAGTCAACATGCTGAAAGCAAGCTTTTCGGGTTGCACTGGTAACCTGTCCCCAAAGTTTTGAAACTAACTGAATTGCATCGAGCACAGAAATCTTGGCGCTGAATTGCACCGCCGACGAGCAGCCAGATAATATGCTTTTTTCGATGTAAAAGAATTCGGTCCACAATTTTCTTCCCGTAACGGATTTTTCAGATGCTTAATCACACCTTCGTCCATGGGTTGAAGAACGCTGCTCGTGTTTGTTGGAAAAAATTCCATTTGAATGTTTTTCAGGCATTCTGCTTGTGGATGCGCTGTACAATTATCCAAGAGCAACATAATTTTTCGGCTAATTTGGCCTAACACTTATCCCATTCGAGGACTCTCGCGATGAAAACTTCTTTCCTCATCCACATAGTTTGGTTAGCTCTGTAACTTACGAGTAGTGTGTCCACGTTCACGCCATCGCAACTCGTGGGTTCTTACTTTTTCTGGTTGTAACCAATTTTCCATTATCCGTGTCTGACTAACGCACAGCATAGGAGAATGATGTTATCCATGGCTTTTTTCGATCTGCTGAGCTTGTCGGCAGAAAAACACAAAGAACCCTCTAGAGTTGTTCGATAAAATAGGCCGGTTTCGTCTGCAATGTACGCGTTGTCATCATAGAATAGGTTTAGAAGTTCAGGCAATCAATCTTCCAGATAATTTTCACAGACTGCTCTATCCGCGGACCTCCTCACCAATACGCATGTTTATACACAATTTGATTTCTATTCCTCCATCATTGCAACAATTCTTCTGTGGCAGCAAAGGTTTTGCCAAGTCTTTCCCAGAATTCTTCTGCCTTTTTCTTCAAAAGCGGGCCTGTAACCGTTTGGCTGTGCTCGCGAAGCGTTATCATCCAGTCATTCGATGCAGTTGCAAGTTCTTCACCCTTTCCACAGTGCGTCCATTTCTGAGAGCTTGAAGTGACATGCGATAAATTTTGCCGGAGTTCCTTTTCGCTGACTACGATATGACGAGGAGTATGTAAATCACGCGACAACTTGGACTGCGAGGTTCCTGGTGGTTAAGTTTTAAGTTCCTCAAAACCATCCAACTTGTCCTGCAAGAACAAACGTCTTCTGCTACTGTCCATACTTGTGTGTAACCATTAGAGCACTGACAAATGTGGAGCGGAAAGATTACCCGACTTCGCTCAGTTCTGGAGTTTTGAATAGGGCCGAATGCTTGCTGACAGCTGTCTGTACATTTAGCTTGCTGGTGTATTGAATGATTTAGGTAACCACTTCTTATCTGTCATTAACGCCGCCGACATCTTTCTTATCCTTGACTCGATCGGACTGGCTAGCCGTGGAGTAATCGTAATAAAAGATAGTAGAAATGGGGGCAAAAAATTGATAAAGCCACAAGAGCACAGCCCATGCACTTGGGCAAATAAGCGGTGGGACAACTCCGGCAACGGGCAATTAGACGATAAACCTTTAGCATATTTCTGAGAAAATAATTTGTATTTTGAAAAACTTGACAATAAAGCGGGTTCGACTGTACTATCAGTTCAGCACTTGTTTAAAGGATTGTTGCCAGGGCGATATATGTCTAGGCAGTAGGATCTAGTTGTCTAACGGCACTAAACTGTAATCATCACCCTTAAGGTGTAAGTTTCTACTGAAGCAATTCTCATACTACAGAGAGAGAGAGAGACACTGGCTGATGATTCTTGATATTTGTTTGCAATGCATTGAAATACTAGTAGCTCTGGTTGGGAGTTGAGATACGGGCTTATAGACAGAACTTGGCAATTTACTCGCAGTTGTTTTGTCGCATATCAATGTTACAGCTTCAGTACACAGTAGTGGTAGCGAATTTGATCGTACTGCCAGTAGATCTGGGAGTTGTGGCACCAGCTACAAGGTCTGAAATATATACAAGGAATAGCTCAATTGCCATCGATATCCACTTACGGGATTTCGGTGAGGATCTTTGCCTAACAGCAAAGCCGCTAGCACAACCACGCACTGAAGGTGTCGTTCGGATTTACGACTAATAGTCTGAAAGAAAATTACCAACCTGAGCGAACAAGTCTACAAACCACGCCCCTCATAGCTGTCCACCTCCCCGACACAGGATATGACCCTAAACCAGCCGATGCATACGGAATTATCTACGGGGCCCCGAAAGACGATCTAGGCACTCGCGTAAGCCGATATTGGAAGCTGCTGAAGCTATCACAATTAGGTTGCAAGAACCGAATATGTGCACTCAGAAACCAATCTTTAAGGCCTTACGGCTGACCTGACCCGATCGACTCAGTTGGACTACGTACAGGCCGAGACAGCGACCTACTTAACAGCAACGATCGACTTCTCCAAAACACTGCTTTTACAGTCCAACTTGCCATGGTGACCACCAGTTCATGACGACCAGACAAACATATCCGCAAAGTTTTCTCCTATGAGTATTTTTCCTATGCATGAACCTGTCTATGGTGACCATCTGTCCAAAGAGACCACTTTTTATCGGTCTCTTGAGTAGTCGCCTTAGACAAGTTTGACCGTACCTTCCTTTGTAACGACTTCACTAGTCGGTTGGAGTGATTTGATTCGTATAAAATGGTAACAGCTCAACGTTGAAGTATCAGAAAGAGGTTCCTTCGACCTGATCTTTAATCTCGATATCCGTATTTATCCTGACAATCCAGATGACTGTAACTGACCAATACATGGCAATGCTTAACCAAGGACAAATGTGTCGCAATGAGCTGCTATTTGACTGAAAACACCTGTTGCTAATGTGTCATCATAAGCTATCTTGCGCATGAAGGAAGTTCAGTCTTTCGCACAGTTCTCATCGTAACTGCACGGGTTCAAGGTTTACTTACCAAGTCCAGCTTCCCGATCACCGGCTACGTTGGTCCGTATCTCACCCACAGTGAATCCGAGGTTGAATTCTGATAGTGGACTACTCGCCACTGATGCACGTTCATCCAAATCAGTAGTGACTTTCGAAGGCCGCAGCAACTGCGCCACGTCGGGATGATCAAACCGACTGGCCATCTCAGCAGGCGTTTCACCGAGCTGGTTAGTGATCAACGGGTCCGCACCGTTGTTGAGCAGCCATTGAACAATTTTGAAATGGCCTTGTTCGGCAGCTTTCAAGAGCGGAAAATGAAATTCTGGGTTAGATTGTGATTGCCACGTGTTGCCGCAAACCTCATGTTCAAAATTTTATGACACAATCTGATGCGGTTCTTTAGAAGGAAAACGTGCACGTGTGGACATAATTGCAGTAATTTGTGGTCAGATGTTGCATGTAAGCTACCCCACTTTCTTACACAGTCCCTCCAAGTATGTTGGATATGTCACAAAAGAAGTATTGATAGCACCACAAATGATTAATTTTTTCACTAAGTGCGTCCAACTTATCAAGCCCAAGTAAACCAGCTACTTCACAATCTGCGGGTGAAAGCATAGAGACAAACAAGCGTGAGTCGAAATTCCTAGGCAAAAGTACGGGACTGAGTGACCAGCGAAAGTTGTGGAGTCTTCATCACCACAGGTTCGGACTGTATATTCTACTATAGAGAAGCAACGGTTGGATAACCGTCACATCTACGCAGTTACAGGTACAGTGTAACAGAATGGTCGGTGACGTGTGATGTTACTCAGATGAGCATAAATAGGTAAAAATCTGTGAGAAAGCATGTTCCTCTTTGAGATTTAGGTCAAACGTCAAACGGTATTGTGGTAGTCACCTTGATTGGTGATGTCAAGAATCGTTACTAGCGGCCAACTGCATCTCATCGAATGTCATAATGTTCCTACAATCGTTCTATCTAAGCAGCTCCGCTACCCGATGTGGTGAACGTCATCAATCCCCACGTTTTTAAGGTAAGTAAACACGAGCACCCAACCCTTTAGACGTGTGCTAGTAGCTGTTGGCTGATGGACCGACTCTAGTTGGGGTCCGTGGACAGGAGGCCGTGAAACACCACGTGTGAGTCAGACGCGGGGAAAACATATCCGACCTAGAATGTAAGATGTGTCGCACTGTGGTAGGCAAGGTTGAACTGGACTAGCACGGATGACAGTGGGTGAACAGTGCAAGTGAGCCGACGGGCCTCAGGTGGACTCAATTATACTCGTTACAGGAGACAGTAGGTTGTTACTTAAGGAGACGGGATGCGCCGTTCTCGTGACCGTTCTAGACGCAACAAGTGGTTCCATCCAGTGTGGAGCGGACTACTGTCCAGCCACCGGCTTGTGTACATCTAGTACGCATGATAACAACCTAAATAGACAGGATGCTGCTGCTGTGCATGTTGAATGAGTTTGGGCCGACTTCTTTGATGGAATTTGGCCCCATCCGCATGTCTTTTAGTCTTATTCCTTCGGGTTTCCATTAAACATGGGGTGTGTGGATGGGGTTGTGGGTGGTGCAGCGCAAGCCGCAGCTACTCATTCTGTAGGCGCAGGCTTCCTGTGGCCGTCGTATGGTAGCCATAGTGACAGGCAAATCCGGAACCGCGTGCCAACAACCATGTGAGATGTGCCGTGTGCGTGGTGATTCCACGCACGTTATCACTAGGTGAAATGTTGAGTAGCTAGGCTACCACGTGGAGGAGGTCAAGAGAACTAGCTGGTCGGCAGAATGACATGGCTATCACTCAAGCACAGTTGTGGAAGGTTGGCTGGTATGGATTTCGGGAAAGTGCTGCCCGGGGGCGGTGCGAGCATGTGGACCGCGGCGCGATTTGAGGTACTGCATACTCTCTGAGCGCATTGTTGAAAGTTTCGAGCTTGCTGATTGAATGGATTCGTTTCGTGTTGTGACTGTGTGCGTGCTACACATCGGCTTTTTGATTTGAGGACTTTGTGGTGCGCTAGATGGAGGTTGTGGTTTTCGACGTTCATATGCACGAACACCAGGAATTTCCGATCGTGATAACGAATGGCTAGGCTGTGTTCATGTAGAGCTGTACTAAGCTTTCTTTCCGTCTGTCTTACGTGGTGGTTGTCTCTGTTTCGGCAGCAGATCAGGCAGGTCACATCAAATGTGTTGTATTTTGAAGTTTATCTTTTACCTTAAAGATTTGAACCCATATTGTTCCCTTTGACTGATGGGAAGCCCTCAGAGACAAGGAATTGTAAATTTTTGTTCCTTGTTAGATCCCCTTTCTTCCCTATTCATAAGCAAAATGACCAGAGCAGTTTGCTACCAAAGTAGCTTTTCAAGTTACAGATGTACTTCTGTTACGAATGAAGTAAGTTGTCAGGTGCAGCAACCTTGTTACTTTGGGAGCTGGAAGTGAGATTGTAAGGGACCCCCTTTGGTGACATTATGCAGCCCGTCAAATTTCACGTAGAACTCTTGCGTTAGAAATGGTTCGACATCGAGCGAAATAAACCATACCCTCGGTGAAATAAACTGACCGAACCAATAGGTTTTCACTTCGTTGCCCTTAGACGGTAACGGGAAGACTGAGGTTCTTGATAACATGGCGCTAATTTTGCTGTACCAAAAGTATGAGCCGTATTCCAGACTGCCGCATTTCACATACGCAGAAAAATACCCCATTGGAAGATAGGCATAAAAAGGATAGCTAGAAAATAGTGGCTAGACAGTGCTCTTCTATACGGCTGACTACTGGCAAAACGAGCAACGGAGAGTTGGTTACACATACACTAAACCCGTATTGATATTCCGGCAGTTCGCAGTGGGATACTTGCACGCACTCAGTAGTGCCCTGTCAACATGCCCTTTGGAACACTTTAACGCTTCACCTCCTTTTGGGATTTCCCATTGTTGGCTCCTTGTCCTACGACCACCTCTCGTCTGAGACGCTGAGAAGTGAACGAGAACGCAAAATTCTGCGGATGATTATCAGCACGTGAGTGTAAAGCCCCTCACATTTGGTTTCCAGGCCAGCCAATTAGTTCTCGAGTAGTATAAATTCCAGCGGTTGAGAGGTAACTTTTGTTCATTTAATGGTTTCACGAGCACAAATTGTCCGAATTCAGTATGTGGAATCTGTCTGTAAGCCACAAGTGTAATCATTTGCTGTCATATTGAGATAGCACAGTTGGTTTTTTAACTGGTAGCCTACCGTGAACACAGGCATAGATGAATGAGTTAAAATAGAAGAAAGAAGGATTTAAGCATATGGTTATGCGAGTCTGAGGTCCATCAACTTGCTATGGTAGTGGCTACAACACTTACTTATCAGCACAATCACAACAAGGTGGTTGGAAATACATGTTCCTTTGTGGTATTTTAATGGTTCAATTTCGAAAACATCCCACACTTAGTGGTGTCGTTCGCAGCCTGGCAAGTTCATGGTGTACCGTAGGCCATCGGTTTAGCAAGTGAGATGATCTGTTCCGAAGAGGTGCCCGAAGGAACGTTTTAACCTTGGACTGACCAACAGACTGTTTCGGGTAGCATACACGTTGTGGGCCATATTTCTCCCCTGTGTACGAGCAATAAGTCCACCAAGCACACAGCATTACTTTCAGTGTTGTGCAAATATTCTGCATTAAAAAGAAAAGTAACCGCGTAGCACACACTGTAGATGCCTAGACCACTAAGAACTTTGACAGGCAACATGAGCATATAACCGTTTCCGGGGCATAAGCGAGCATAACGTGCGTTTTGGATTGCATACTTTGAGAGTATGTGGCCCATTGGAGCTGTTGTGGCCAGTGACATTTGTGCCTGGTGGCCGTCCATATGATGTTGATGGGTACGGAGAACCAGCCGTGGATACTGCTCTAACTTCCCCCATTCCAAACACACACCACGTGTCCCGTGTCAATAGCCTTCGAAAAGTGCCGAGTAGCATATGTGTGAAAACCGCAACTGATCCCAAACTGGTTCACTCCTATCAGCACAAATATCCCCCCAGTTGTAGCGCACTCCATTTGACTTCATCTCGTGAGAACAAAATGTCTGGTAACACTAGCCAAGTGCATGAACCTACGGGGACTTGAAACCGCTGTGACTGTTTCCGGCACTCGTGTATAAGAGGTAAGTGATGTCTGTCTTGACCTACCTTACTCTTATAATGCGACACACACGTGCAAGTAATTCCGTAAGAGGTGTTCAGCACTCATTATGAGCCACAGAATCTAAATCGTTGCGCTGAGCAGTGTGAATGGCTGGGAAGAAGACGCTGCGATCGCAGTGGCCATTTCTCACACGTCTAAGTGGCATTCACCTTCCTGAGACATAAACTTAAATGTACTATGGCACTTTCGCTCACCGTTCTCGCCTGTGTGCCTCTTGTGACTCAGGACAGACCTACATTATGTTCTCATAGACAGAAAATCGGTGAATGATGTGAATTAGTTTGGATGAAAGCCTCAACACGCAACGATGCCGATACCCCATGTGGTGTTACTAGTTTAAGCACTTTTAAACTTTTGCTTGGTATTGGAATTAGGTCAATCATACAGGCACCAGAGGGCCAGTTTGATCCTCATAAAAAAGTATGTCAAGCTTGCACTGACCAACTAAAAATGTACAACCTTTTAACAATGTCGACCATATGAACCCACCTTAACTATGTGCATTAAAAGATGAATTTTAAGGACCTGTGTAACACAGTGCACGAGGATCGTTCCTATGGATATGGCAGTATGGGTGAAATTTACTTTTCTCAAAAGGCACGGGAAGGTGCAGTAAGGTCATTACAGGCAAGCTTGGCTTTCGTGAAGGCGGATTCTACAGTTCGGGTTATCAGTGTTACCCCAGTTGCTCGGCTTCAACGGACACGCCATTGTGAATAGGTCAATACAACCTGCTTGCGTTGGCAAATGCGTACCTAGAGGTTCCTGTGATCCCACAGCGTTGAACAACAAAAATCTTGGTGTTGATTCTGGTCGCATTACCGGAAGGGTTTAACGCATTTGGTGACGACATAAAGACCATGGGTGAGTTGGTACCCCTTGTCACTAGTATTTCGGTGTATCGAGACTAAGTTATTGCACAACGCCAAAGAATTAAATTTGGACCGAACAACGTCCGGCATCCCTTTACAACAGCAACTAGATGGTGC